GTCTTGTGAAGGTTGAATTGAAGATTTATGGTGTGTGGGTGTTGTTATCGCGGTAGATTCGAATAGAAGGTCGGTTCATTGTGAGTAATTAAAAAGGGTTTGTAGGTGAAGGGGATTTGCTAAAGTTGAGTTCAATAATGATGAAGAGATGGAGCTGAAGTGATCTTTGTCGCCTGATGGATTTGAGACGTCTAAAATAGGTGAGGTTTTATGCTCCGGTTTACCATTCCCTCCTCTCCCTTTCTATGCAGCTTCTCCTCCTTTCAATCCAATTCTTTCCCGTTTTTGGACTGATATTGCAGATGGTATGATGACATGGGCTTCATCTTGGGTGTAATTGCCTTGTTATGGTTTTGTTTGCAGGTTTATGATTCAGGATGGTTCTCTCATCAGTTGGTCATTAAGGAGAGGATTTTAAGAGTGGTGTTTTTGTGTGTTCTGTTACAGGTTTCAAAGTAGTCAAAGGATAAAGCCAACAGAGGGAAAAGAGGGTTGAGGGTGAACTGGCTAAAGGTTTTGCTGTGGCTGGGTGTGAAGATGGAGTTGGTGATTTCTTTAGAGGTGATGAAACAAATTTACTGAGGTGTATTTTCTTTCTGAAAAATGAGAAGCCAATAGAATCTGGTGGTGAGAGATTTTGATGAGTTGTTTTTGTGTGTTCTCTGAAGTGGGAGGAAGGTTGAAAATATCAAGTATCAGGGAAGCTCTTTCACTTTCTTCCCCCCTCTTTTCTTGAAATTCCCTTCCTTCATATCCTTAAATTCATTCTTTCTTTGCTGAGTGAGGTCTCTTTCGACTGCTGTAAAATTTCCATTGAGTGGTCGTGTTCTGTCAGCCGGTTCCAGGTAATCCCCAAGATCTCTTATTTTTAATCATGATAGGTTTTTCCTGCTGTTATGTTTCTTGAACCTTGTAGTCAAATTTTAACTTTCTCTGCTTTGATATTGGTTTGTGCATTGTTTACCAAAAGTATGCTAATTTGTTGGATCTGTAGCAGTATTTGACTTGATGCATCTTTGGTTATGCAGTTCTGGCTGGATTTTGCATTTTGTAGCAGGTTCCATTTTGGAGTAAGAGTTTTGGCATGTTGTGGAATTTGTGAAAGCAGGGTAGTAGCAGGATGCTGGTTACTCTGTTTTGATGGCAACAAGCTTTTACACTGAGTTGTTATTGTTCTTGACTGGTGTGATAGCAGGCACAGGCTTTAGAGGTAGTATGAGTGTGAAGATTTTGTTGGCTAGCAATTTGTATGTCGTATGGCTTGTACCATGGTGTACAAAAAAGAGATCAAGACGGTTTTGTGTAAGGGAACATGTGATATATTTGGCTAAAGCGTGTGGCTTTCACTTCTTCTTTTTGGTGCAGGGTCTTGTGGCAGCAGGGAAGTACGTTGAGGTGCTGTTTTGCAAGTAACAGCAACTCTGTTTCGGTGAAAAGTCTTGGTCTTGAAGCTTGTTTCACGATGCAGGGCCTACTTTTCTTCCATTTTTTGTACTTGTATTTTTGTAATATTGATGTGGGCTTCAAGAAGATAAAAAATGGGATTGAGCTATTATTCTGAATTTTCTAAAATTTGTGTAGGCTTGGAGTGAAAAGTTCTTGGAGGTAGTCGTGTAAAGTCATTTGGTCAAGGCAAACCTTGGGATTGACTAGCTGGTACTTTGGCAGCTTTAAGGAGTGTGGCAACCCTGGTCTTGTGTCTTTGTATTCTTGGTAAATGGGCCTATTGGCATATGTAATGTATTTCTTTTTTTTTTTGTGAAGAATTTGTGATAATGGGCTTATGAGATAGTTCATGTGTTCTTGTGGTAATTTTGGTGTAATAATAAACAAATAAAAGTTTGGTTGATTTTTTGTGAACAGAAAATGATATTATGGAATTTGGTGGATTTTTGTGTAATGGATAAAAAAAGAGAAGTGAATTAAAATGGATGATGAAATTGGATTAAGATGGATAATGGAATAAATTGAAGTGAACGAAAGGTTAAAAAAAACAGGGAAAGGTGAAACGACTCTAGGAAATGGTTCAATGGTTTGAATAAAAAATAGATAAGAAAAGGTTTGTAAATGGATTAGAAATGGATAGTTACAGGAATAGACATGGGTAACGCTTCCACAACACTTAAAGATTCCACAATGCATTTGACCGTCACAAATCCTGAACAAAAACACAAACTTGAACCCAACTCGAAATGATCTTGATTGGACAACGGTCGGATAAATCCTCATACCAAAAGCAAAACTTAGCCACCCCATCACTACTTGCGCACACATTGAACCTGCTAACCTCAGCCGAAACTCAATTGAACGACACCTTGAGTGCAATAACTGAAAGAAATAACCAATCTCAGCAGAGACCTCATATCCAAAACCTTAATTCAACCACTTTTGAAGCTTCTGAAATCCAACCCTGATTCCTGAGTGAAATAAAACAAACAAAAACTGATGAACCGGTTAGTCATGCAAAATGGTTGAACCTAAATGAAATGCAAAAGATCAAAGAATCTGAGGGTAAAATTTAGGGTATGACATATATATATATATATATATATATATATATATATATATATATATATATATATATATATATATATATATATATATATATATATATATATATATATATATATATATATATATATATATATATATATATATATATATATATATTCAAATTATTGAATTCTGCTAGTGTGCGATCAATACGTTTGGTAAACCTTTGGAAAAGATTTTGTTGAGTTGATCACAAGAGTACAATCAACCCATTTTCATTCCATTTTGCATTCATACCTAATTTGTAAGTCGATTGCTTTTGCATCGCCATTAACGTTTCTCCAATCTAATTCCAAACCTTTCAAAATCATTTTTAAACTTTCACTTCAAACATTTTCGTAATCAATAAAACAAACCATTGATCCAACATCGAGTGACATTTTTCTCAATCAAAATCGAAAACACTTAACAACTATTAAACACTTTTCGACAAAAGGATGAAAAAGGAGCAGAGTGTAGTCAACGATCTTCCGAGAAGGAGGACACGAGATGTAGTTCTCGACCGTATAAACTCTCTCATCAATTTAAAAATACTTCAACACATCAAACTTCTTTTTTCTCGCCGTTGTGAAATCCTTCAAACCATTTTCACAAACGTGAGATATTGTGTCTTGAAACGACGTAAAACATTATTTCGTCCACAACTATTTGAGTTGAAACAAGAGGCGTTTCCCGCGAATCTTGATTTGTAAATCCATTCTATCGTGATGCAAACATCCGCTCCTCACTTGTTTTGGGTAAAACAATATTTTCTGTCAAATGCGACTAAATATCTCTTCCTAAAATCGGCCAACAAACAAACATTTTCTACCCATAACCACATAGCCTTGATTTTTTTTGCACTTGGAGATACACAAGCGAGATTCAAAGTCTCGTCAGGCACCCTAATAAAAATAAAACCATTTTGCTTCTATTCTTTTCCCTCTTAATAACTCGAGAAGCCTAACACTTTTAAGTAAACACTAACGCGCACAACTAACCAACTGGTTTTCGTTGAGTACAACGGACATGAGGATATTAATACCTTCCCTTTGCGTAACCGACTCCTGAACCCGATAATGGTTGCGGTGACCATATCCTTTTCTTTCATTTAGGGGTTTTATCGATATTTTCACTTTTCCTCTTTGGGATTAAATAAAGTTTGGTGGCGACTCTGTTAGTCCATCCGCGAGCGTACGATTGCGATTCGCGAGGCCGTGTTCTCATTTTTTAATGTACGACAATGACCTTCATTTGCGCAATTCTCTCGTAATTTTCACCTTTGAAAACTAATAGATTCACTAGAAATTGTGTTGTATTTGTGTTATCATTTGTCATTAAAGATTTTCTCTAAATCGCAATTAGATTCGTTGATATTAATATCTTAAAACAATTAGGTTTTTCAAAAATAATAAACAAGAAAAAGAGAGAATAAAAGTAAGATATTATATTGCGAAAAAAGAATTTTTCAAAATAAAAAATTGTTGCATTGATTTACAAAATTACATGTATATATAAACAACAAAATACAATTCGACTCACACTTCGACACACATGTTATATTAGACTAATACAATTATGTCAAATGCAACTTTCTTAAAATAATATAGGGAAGTATATCTTTTAACAATAAGAACGTGATGTGATAGATGAATAAATGGCAAATTTCAAAAGAAACTAAATTTTTTTTCAATTTTTTAAAATTTTATTAATTTATTGTATTACATTATATTCTTCATAATATTTTTTAATATTCTCTTACTTATGTTTTCTTTTCATTTATTATAATAATATTATTTTTTTACCTTTTCTAAATCTTACTATGTTTTATGCTTTATATTTTTCTTATTTTTAAAATTTTATAGAAAATTCAATTATTTTCTTATTTCATATTAATTAATCTATCATTACGAGTCTCTCCCACTCGCAATCATATTTTTCGTGTAGAAACCGACACACAACACTCTTGCGCCACTTTTCATTTTTCACCCCATGCGTCCATGCCAGCTTGGCATTTTTCATTGGCGCGCAATTACACCTCTTCAATCCATAACATCCCTCCGTGCATGTTCCTCAATGTACAATATAATAAATTATAAACAATATTCATATCTTTTAAAATAATTAATTCATATTTAACAAAATTAGATTGACAGGTATGATAAGAATTAACAAAAGTTAAAACCATAAAATAAAATAAAGGAAATTTTCATTTAATCAAAAAGCCAATTTCAGAAAATACTCCATCTCATTCTCACCTATCACAAGATCCATCCAACTATTATCTTTATTATTATTAAATATATCCAACTCCTTTATTAGTTTTTTGCTGGTGAAAACTCCTTTAATAGTTTTAATCTTGAAGCAAAAGAAACACAAGAACTCAAGTGAGTGAGAGAGAGCATAGCATATAATTGAATTCATAGAATAAACAGAGAGAAATCATAATATCATTATTGTGATCGGAAATGGCAAGTTCAGGCGGTTATGGAGATACAAACCAGAGGATAGACTACGTCTTCAAGGTGGTTCTGATCGGTGATTCCGCCGTGGGGAAATCGCAGATACTAGCTAGATTTTCTAGGAACGAGTTCAGCTTGGACTCCAAGTCCACCATCGGAGTTGAATTTCAGACGAGGACTCTGGTCATCGATCACAAGACCGTTAAGGCTCAGATCTGGGATACCGCTGGTCAAGAACGGTACTCTCTCTTTCTCTAACTAACTTTCTAACGCGTTTTCTCTAACTAACTATAATTAAGTTAGTTACATACTGATTCGAATTTGTTATCTATGTTACAACCGTTTATTGCGTCGTTTATTACGCGATCTGCATCGTTCTTGCGTGATCTGATTGTTGTAGATAAGGATCGATCGCGAAGTATATGATTGAAGATCAGAGTTTGTTGTGCCTTTTATTTCTGTATAATTTTTTTCTAGTTGAATATATATGAAAAGTGGAAGAAAATTCACATTTCAACAACTATTTTTAGTATTTGTGATTTTTGTTAGATTTCTATAAAGTATGTAAATAGTGTTCATAAAGCGTCTAATCTAAAAATATACTCCTATATTCATAATGTGAAATTAAATGGTGAAGTACAATCTTTTAGGTTCATTTACAAGTAAGTAATTATTTATGAATAACACGTGCATGTTTAATTTTTGGTCTTTTTAAAAAATTTTAGTGTAATTTTAAGAGAACATACAATTTCATTTTATTTACAGTACATAATACAACAAATTGCATTGATATTTCAATGGCCTATGGTGCAGATATAGAGCAGTTACAAGTGCATACTACAGGGGTGCTGTAGGAGCAATGTTGGTTTACGACATCACAAAGCGTCAGACCTTTGATCACATACCCCGTTGGTTAGAAGAACTTCGTAATCATGCTGATAAGAATATAGTCATTATTCTAGTAGGGAACAAGAGTGATCTTGAGAACCAGCGCGAAGTTCCAACAGAGGATGCCAAAGAGTTTGCTGAGAAAGAAGGGTTGTTCTTCTTAGAGACCTCTGCATTGCAAGCAACTAATGTTGAAGCATCCTTCTTGACAGTTTTGACAGAAATATACAACATTCTCAACAAGAAAAACCTGGCTGCTGATGAAAGTCAGGGAAATGGGAACTCGGCTTCTTTATTGGGCCAGAAAATTGTTATTCCAGGTCCTGGTCAGGAGGTCCCTGCTAAGAGTAGTATGTGTTGTCAGTCTTGATTTTCTTTTTTTTTTATAATTTGATTCAGTGTAGTATATTTCATGGTTCAATATTCCTATTACTACCAAATTTTGAAAGGTTTGGGGGATTCTCGATCGTATACTGAAATTTAATTTGTTTGGGTTCCTGAGTGAAGGACAACAAATGAAAGTCAATATAGAATTATAGATTGCCAATATAATATTCATGATTCATAATTGATGTTACTCTGAATGTTGTGAAAAATTACTTGTGCTCGTAGCCTAATGTGGCTATTTGTCAGCTGTGGCAGTTCAGATAAGCTCAGAAATATGGACTTGGATGACAAGTGTCTTTATTAATCCATAAACAACAATATGAGTAACCAAACAACCTGTATGTTTGGAAGTAATCAATTTTACATCAATGAATTTTGCCAAAATTTAAAGGTTGTATGGCACTGATAAGTTGGATGCACGGTAGAATTTGAATCATCTTTCAAGTTGAACCTCTCAATTGTATAAAGTGTTTCTCAAACAATTTAGGCAAACTTTCCAAGCTTTAGATTATGAGTACTAATACAAATACGAACCAAGGTCTAAGAAACTAATAACAAAAATTTATAATTGAAAGTTCATGAGTGAAGGAAAAAATCATCATTTTCTGTAAATGCAATAACATAAATAAATATCTGTTACAACAGAGTATTAAATATCAGTTGAGGTGTCCTCTAACTGACAGTAGCTTTCACACATCATGATTTTTATTGTTCAACTTCTGTACAGGCTTCACCTCCCACATCGTTCGAGGATTTGCCCACATGCCCATCGTTCGAGGATTTGCCCACATGCCCAGAAGATCCCTTTTCTGTGTCTAGACGTATTAAAAGCCTTTCAAGCAATTCTTGGCAGTCCATTGCAGTAACCATCACTGACAACCTTGCCCTACCCCTCCAGCATCCTATGGCTATTGTTGACTCGTCAACTTTGAGGGACTCTGTAGCAGCAACCATGTTCTCTGCAGAAAAGGAAAAATGCCAGTAAACAGATGTGTCAATGTCAACGGGATAGTTTAAACTATTCTAGAGCATCACCTGGGATTATACATACCTTTACCCAGAACTATCACGCAACAGCCTGGCAATAGATTTTCTGCCCTTTTACCAAACTCGGCATCAGCAAAATCTGTAAATTTTACATCTTTGTCCTGCAGAAGATGCTTGAAGTCCACAGGAGAAGCCTGTATAATTTGCTTTGTTATGTATGGGAGAATAAGGGGCAATCCTTCAGATGATATCCTGAAAGCACATGGTGCATCGGTACCTTCTCGTGCTGTTTGTCTTTCCTATAAGATAAGGGCAAGAACATTTCACAGTTATTCACTAGTACTAGTAAAAACAAACTGAAACTTGTATCTCAATCGGTCAAGGACTGACTCCTTGACCAGAAAGCCACTTCCATTACAAGGACAAGTTTACAAACTATAAGGCCATGTCATTCAAATACTAATAGATTTATTTAACAGTGTAGATCGTGACAATTCCTTGTACCGTGGATGCTATTTGTACTACGCTAGAATGACGCATAGAAAAATCAGGTTGGTAAAGCAGTTTTAAATACATAAACTATTATATCACATAATCCTTACAGAATATATGTCAAAATTAGATATGAATGCTTGACTATATAATTCATAAACAGAATGCTTCCCGTGCCTAGACAGAACCCCAGCGCCAACACCATTATCTACCAACCAATGTTTTTAGGCCTTCTAATGGTGAGATTATACACAAATTATTACTACCTCTGTTCCTTTATAAATGTATCTAGTCTATAAACCGGCCATCTTTTAGGTTCATTGAATAATTAATGTATCTAGTCTATAAATCGACCAAATACATTTGATTATTCAATGATGAGTTGTCTCTTACATAAAAGAACTGAGGTAGTATTTACTTAAATCTGAAAAATGGATGACAAATAAAATAAGACAATCATGTAATATAAAAATTCTAACAAGAACAATATCTCTAAATTGAGAATAAAGTATACTTACAAACATCTTCATGCCAACTGATGTTATTTTCAGTTGCTGCCCGGCTGAGAAGTTCAACTCAAGAATATCCTTGACAAACTTAGAGACATAGTAAATTCTTTTCACGTGACTTGTATCACTGTTTCGTGTAATAAGGTGGCCATTGAATGGAAAACGCTCATCAATCCCATAAAAGTCCCTTATACTATTAATAATTGTCTCATCTTTAAAAAAGACAACAGGGTCAACACCTCTCCATTGTCCTTGAAGTTGTAGCTTTCGTTTGCCTGGAGCCTTCTTTGCCATGTCCTGTGCATTATGTGGCACTTCAGTTTCCTCAGAGTTCTGTTCTTCTCGTGTAAGAGGACTAACTTCCAAATCTTCTGTATTGGATATATTGTCAATCATATTTTCCTCTGGAACTGCTTTGACGACTTCTTCAATTGTACTGTCAGATGAATTGATCTGTGGTGCTTGTGCATTCTCAAGACTCTGGTTTGATAGTTCTACATTTTGTTCATCAATTTGTTTGCTAGGTTTTTCCGTAACAGCTGCAAGAACAAAAACCATATCATGAGCAAAAGTCCAGGTAAAATGATAAAGTAGAAACTGCAGCTTAGAGAGAGATAGAGGGATGTTATTATATATGAGACTACCTGGCAGAGGAGAAACTTTCTGCAGCACAGCAATAAAGAAGGCCCCAGTGTTCTGATCATGAGGCAATATCCTCATGCAATGCTCTAGAGGAAAAACCGAAACTTCATCAGCAGACTCGGATGTCACAGGATTCTCTAGTGCTTCAATACCATCTTCCGTTTTTCCATTTTCTACACTAGTAATGTCATCTTCCATGTCAACATTACAATTACCATTATCAAGATCCTGGTTTCCTTTGCCAGAAGGAAACATACTGGGAAAAATTACACTTCTACGAAACTTGGGAACATCACTGTAAGAGACCAACCAACTGCTCTTGTCATATACCTGCATCTCCAAAATAAAACAGCTTTAAAAATGATGATATTTAAATATATTCCTGAAAATTTAGGAATGGGATATTCTCTTATAACTGAAAGTAGTGCTGCTGATTGAATATAGATTTATTCCTGTGTCTTATATAATAGAACCCTGGTTTCATCAAATGTGATTTTCTTTCATTTTCGCTCTTTCAACAAAAAAAACTCAAAAGCAAACTGCTACGAAGAAAAACTTGATCCTTCTATATTTGAAGCCATAAGCTGAATCAAGTGCAAACCAAGACTGCAGGCTTGTCAAGATCGGGATCATGCATAAGATTGGATGGGGACAGTAAGATTGTAACCAAGATCGGAAGATTCTACCCAATTATTTTTGTAAGATCGGGAGGGGGTAGCAAGATAATAAAACATATGATTGTAACAAAAATCATAAGATATTACTAAAACGAAAAATAATACTATATATTCTAAATTCTTTTACATGATTTTTTGGTAGGCAAGTGTTTTCATGGAAAAATGGCCTCCACCTAACCGTAATTGTTGTGCCTCGGCATCCGTCATCTTTCTCGGCTTGTAATGGTGGTGATCAGAAAACGGTCGATCGTGGCCGGAACTGGCCAATATCGCCCATAATCAATGGTGTTACGATTTTTTTTTCACAATTTGGCTACAACACAATTTTATTTAAGATCGGAATCATTGGGGTGAGTGGGAATGGGATCGCAAAATCGTAAGATTTAAGTCTACATCGTGATTTTGACAACCTTGACCAAAAGGTAACATGCTAAAGTTGGGCATCCAAATGATTGCTGCCAGAATTTTATTAGAATTAATTACTGCCAGACATATTCAAAACAAATGCAAATTAGCAAAAGAGTCAAAAATTGGAACTAGAAGAGAGGTAACTGCCAGGCAGCACACAGTATTTAATAGAAGAGTGAACACAAGAAAGACAGAGACAAAGACAAAGACAAAACAATTCAGATCATATGCTCCTCAAAGAGGTCAAGGCACCTGCTCCTTTTGTCAACCAAGTGGTCATTTTCAAAATATAATAATATGACATAACTTCTTAACAAAAACTGCATACTTAAAATAAAAATCATAGCTTCCTAAAGATAACCTCATTCTATTAGTTATTTTCCTTTGATCCTTTCTTTTAATTTCTCTCATAAACTCCCTAATAGAGTAGTACCTTAAGAAAGGTTTGTGTATGTGTAAAGATAGTTTCCCTAAATGTGTAACTAAATGATGCTGAGTCAGCAGTTAGTTACTCTAGGTTACTCTATATAAACTCACTAGAGTTATTGAAATTAACATTCATTGAATGCAAAACAGAATTTAGGCCTCTCATGTTTATCCTTTTCTAATACTCCCACACTTTAGGCCTCTCATGTCCCACTTCCACTAACACATCCTCCTCTATTGACTTAGGCTCTTGAAGTATCTAACAGTATTTCACTCACAACTGCTGTACTACATTGGAACACCAATTACCTTACAACAAATAGGACACTAAGAAAGCCGAGCACTATTTTCCTTCAAAATCCTTTGGATTGTATCATCATGTGATATAAAAGGACACAATCTCCAGAAAACCCAGAATCGTGCTAATACTTGGCCATGTATAAACATCAATTTTGTGGTTTAATTTCAAAACTACGGTTATGAATAAAGCGCTTTAGGTGATTTTGCTGGTAATTTGAACAAATAGAATCATAAGTATCTCAAATTGTTGACAAGGTGAAAATCCACTCCTGGCGGTGGTTGAAAGCATAATCTCCCGAGTTTGACTACCTTCTTCATCAATGGTGGTCTAATCCACCGTTGAATTGTGGTTGTTCTTAATTGGTCTGGTTGTTTATATTTTTTGTCTTGTTTCATGTTTTTATTCTTGTAATCCTTTTTTAGGTTGTGCTAGTTTTTTAGGCCAAGTCCTTGTCTTTATAGTTTTCATAGCATTTTTCTTCTTTTTTTCCTCAAACTCCTTGTGCTTGATTATATATCTTACTATATTTTGGCTTATTAAAAAAAAAGTATTATAACCAAAACTGGGACTGGTGACCTGGTCACAGCCAAAAGGAAGTATGTTAAATTGGCCACAGCAAACACAAACCTTCCAACTCTTGAGACCTGGCCGACGAATTAGTTGTGGAAGCTCACTAGACACGTCAAGAAGTTTGACAGACTCACCACACCTCCGCAAAACCTGCAAAACAGTAAAAAAAAAAACAAAAAAAGATAAAGAAAAATGGAATTGAGTACAGCCCCTTGTTAGATTTCCGTGTTCTAGACTCAAGGTCTACTACGTATTTCTCCGTTTCTAAGTGTGTGCAAGGCTCATATGTAATTTTTATGAACATGGTACAACTACACATAAGAAATTAGTGTACTGTGCTTTCAAGGTAAACTATTAATTAGCACAGCTGCATGAAAATAAAGAGCACTCAAAGTAGATTACCTCTGCAACCACAGCTTCATTTTCAATAGGATTCATTGAGCACGTAGAGTAAACCATTCTTCCACCAATTTTGAGTAAAGATAAACCTGAAATAATCAATATAGTTATTAAGATTGTTGCAATATAAGTGTCACAAATTTATTTCTGTTCATTTAAGAAAATAAACATAAGCAAATTTTTTTAACGAAATCAGTTTAAACTACATCGTATAAATATCTTCCTTGGTACAAAAGAATGCTTTTCATCTTAAGAAGACACGTGACAAACACGACACATAGTGAAGCTACTACTTCACTCCTCAAGGCTCAACGTAATACAAGTATGTTCCCCTTCAAATATATAGAGAAGATGTACATACCAACAATTTATAGAGCAATATTAAACTAGAAGAACAAGGGTTTCACTCAATAATAAAGATCAATTTTAAACAAAAGGATAACTCAGCTAAAGTCAACATGAACTTTTTTGTGACTAAACCTAAATGCTCATTTTCCCATGCTAGATATAACTAAGATAAGTCTAGTTGAGTTCAATTTATGATCATGCATTCTGATTATGCACGAAAAAATGACACTCGACCATTATCAGTAGACTTGGGTCATCATATTATCAATCTTTTTTCATGGGATAGACAACTCAGTATTCCCCAAACTCAAGAAGGATTAACAACAAATTTTTATATCGCCTACGAGGCTCGGGTGCCAGGATTAAAATCCAAGTCATCAAAACATCTTAAACAGAAGGTAGACTTGGTGAGCAACCCACATTGCCTATTACAGATTACCAATATTCTAATTGAAAAAAGCCAACAAATTTGAGCACAGTGACGATGCCAGGTAAGGAAACAAAAGCACAAGCTAGCAAAGGCCTACCCTAAAATATATGCAAATTTTACATAAAGTACCTCGCATAGCAATTAAAATTTGTAGGCTATGAAGCGCTTGTCCCATCCCTGAATTCCTGCAGAAGTAAAATAAGTCAACAAAATATTTTAGGTTGAAAAGAAAGTGAAGTTGGAGAAGAAATTAAAACTACCATTTCCTCCACATATCAGGTGCCTTACGAAGTGTACCATCTCCACTACACGGGACATCACACAAAACACGATCAAATAACAGTTGGTGAATATTGTGATCTAACTCATATTTTTTATGATTCCCTTTTAAACGGCATCCAGGGAAATGCTGTGCTTCGTGATTAGTAACAATTAGGTTGGCCGTGCACATTCTTTTGGTTTGGTGGATGAGAAGATTACATCTTTTGACATCAAGATCATTTGCTATAACCTATGATTACAAAAAGGACACTAGTTAGCAAATGTTGCAAATGGAGATTGGTGTCTTGGTCAATAATTTTAGCAAACTATTGAGTCCAGTATATAAGATGCTGCTGACCATCAACTGGTGACCAAGGCAATTAAAATTGACACAAATAATGTAAACAAACCATTCCGGCAGGTAGTGACCCTGCTTTTGTTGATTGGTGTATAATCTCGAGCAATTGGAATGTTTTTGAACCTGGTGCAGCACACACTAAAACAAAGAAAAGTCAAAAAAGGTCCAAAAAAAAAAAAGAAGCAAAGCTTGAGTTTCAAATGTAGCAAATTGACTGATGGCCGGTAAAAAACAGGGTATTTAGTGCACCAGAAATTGCTTACTATCAAGTACAAAATGGTCTGAATGCACATCCAAGAATAGGGGAGGAACCTGTCACAAACAACCATTAGAGTGGTATAAATTAATTCATAAGAGGTCAAGAGTAATAGTAACCTACAGAAATTTAGCCATTCAGAATTCTAGAACAAAAAGAAAACCACTATGTATGATCATGAAGATGAGAGAGCAGATAAAGCAACCCACCATACTGACAGCTTCCTGTCTTGTGATATTTCCAATTTCATTTTCTAGCTTTAAGAATTCGTGGAACCTGAGAATTCAGCGAATCAGAGGCAGAAATTGAAACATATCGGTATAATAAGAATAAAGTAAAATGTGTTATTCATTGTTAGACAATATTCATGTCGCTGCATTTTGATGTGTGTCTCTCTCTTCCCCTGTGTAAAATAAAGATAATTACATGAACAATGTGCCCAGTACTACTCCAACTCCAAGGATCACATATCAATAACAACTGAGAAGTAAATTAGTTTAGTATTATTCAATTTTGGAAATGTGTAACGATTTGTCTCTAAATCATTTTTTAAAAAGAGAAAACAAGCAAAAGCTCAATATACTCTAGAAATAGGGAGAGATCAGTCATAATAACTGTGCAATAAGATGAAAAAAATTTAAAGAATGCACATGAATAAGAATGGTCTTTCTAGTTTCGCATCATCTTACAAGTCAATGCATGACCAAATACTCTCTATCATCATATTTTAAGAAAGCTAAAAATTAAAATAACACACCATCAACATTACATATTCACCTTTCTAGTGTTTGATTCTTCCTAAGCTGCATCCGTGAAAAATTTGAATGCCAAGCAAAGTTCCCTGGATACCAAAGCAGTGGCCGAATAGCCTCTGTCTCACCCCCTTCGGCAACCTAAAATAATCAATTCACATCATTTTAATATCACACATCAAAAAAACAGTTGCATCATTTTCTCATATCTTCCATTTTTGCATTAAACACACCTCGGCTCGAAGAGAATGCACGAAATCATTCTCCAATTGAGAACGAATATCATCAGCAAATTGACTACTGCAACCCCAAATAAACAAAATTCATGTAAACAAATGCATAACAAACTAAAAAATAAATAACAGAAAGTAGCAATGAAAGTGAATAGTTGCGGTGCAATTTACCTAGCATTGATTCTAAACGATGCAGGCAAAGGTGTTCTGAGAACTGTGATGAATTTGTCCCATTCTTGTGGATCCACTATTAACTGTTCCTTGTAATATGAATCGAAGGAAGGGTTCTGAGTAGCGAAAGGAGCCCAATGAGTAGTTTGAGTTTTATCTGAGGATAAGGAAGAATCTGGATCGGGTTTGGAACGCTTCCAAACGTTTTCTCTGTTGTCACGAAAGTGCTTTCTTTGAGTTCGTGACCTCCCGCGACCTCCCATGTTTCTCTGCTATGGAAGAGTTGTGGCGCGTTTCGGTTTTGGTTTTTTGATAGGGTTTTGGTTTGGCAATCGTGCGGTTTCAGAGTTAGTGGGCCATTTCACAAGCCCTCACTCCACTAAACCCCCACTACACTACCCTTCTTCTAACTTTAAAATATGGGAATTTCTATTTCACCCTAAGTATGAAAAACCCAAAATACTCTTTAAATTTAAGAGATGTATTTTCAGATGTACTCTTGCACCATTTTATAATATATTAAATGAGCACCACTTAAAGTAAAATAAAATTTTATTTTAAAGATGCATCTTCGAATATTTTTATTAAATAGATTGACATTTGAATTGTCTATTTAATTTTTTTTGGAAATGTATCTTTGAAAGTTTTTGGCGGAATTTAAAAATATATGTCATTTTTACATGTGAGGTATTTGCAGAGATATAGCTTTGGACTAAGAAAATATTATTTTGATAAAATAATCACTTGCATTATCAGGCATATACTTCTTTTTCACTTCAAACCCTTTCCAAAAAAAAATTAATTCTCGATCAATATTTTTACTCCAAATCTTCATTCTTGTATTTCATCATATCAAGATGATCAAAAGAAGTTAGAATTTCAGAAAAGGATCGTTCATTCCGAACCTCATTTATCACATTAAGTTTTTTTTTTTGTGAAGAACGTGTGTTGAATCCAAAGATGTATTTTCGAAGTTTGTATGAACTCCCCCGAAGATGCATCTTTGTAGCCTATGTGTTCTCATTTTTTCCAGCTCTATTTACAATTTTAGCAATTTTTGAATTTTTTTTATTGTAATTGTTTTCATTAGATATGACGTACCCCGATGTTTTTTCCAAACATGTTGTGTCTCTGAATGTCAAACGTGTTGTTTTAAAGAAGATATATTTTGACAACCAATTTAAAAATGAGTAAGAGTTTGAATTTTGTGATCACGTTTTTTTAATAAGTATTTTATGGTCACATGATTTAGGTTAGTGTGATGGGTGAGCGATGAAGAGGGCTCCTCTGAGCTGGTTTTATTCGTTTTTCTTTTTAATAATATTTAGGATTGGTTTTCTTTAGGTTTAATGGTGGTGATGAATGGGCCGCGGTAGCCCATGAAGGTTCATGAACTATGTTGTTCTCACCATTTTTTACGGAAATTTTACCCTATACCCCATCATTTATTCTCCTACTCCTACATTATATATTTTTTTACCAAAATATCCTCATATAAATAATTGTAATTTTTTTTGATTTAATCATTTGATCCAGATTTTAATAAATAAATCTATCTTTAAAAACTACTTTATTAATATTCTCATTAAACATGATAAGTATTATCTATATCTATTATATAATCTTATAATGTTTTCATCAAAGATTTTCCGCTAATTTTTTTTTATTTAATTAATTAATTAAATATAAATATATTTATTATTAACTCTATCATTTAAAACTTTTAACTAAGTCACATTCTTATATTTTAAATAATTATTAATTAACAAATACAATAAGACACCTCCTGAATTTTTTTTAAAATGCAGTCACCTACTAATAATATATTTACCATAGTAACTACCCGACATAACTTTTCTCTTCATTCTATTAATTAATCTTTTATTATTAATAATTAAATATTATTATTATTAATTAAATAATAATTAAATTAAGGTCACAGCCTCTAATGATGATTCAATATCACGCCTAAGTCACGTACGAAGTCCAATAGACACTTACAAAAATTCTCATTCCTCAAACTAATCCAAAGAACAATTTTTTTTTTTATTTTGATTTTATCATTTTTTGTTTACTTTTTAATAATATATAAGAATTATAATTTCTAACACCAAAATTAAAATTAATTATAAAATGAAAATTATTAATCATAAAAATCAAAACAACTAATCATAAAAATTTAAAATTTTTAACTATAGACTTTGAAATTAATAAACTAAAAGAAGAAAAACTTTGTTATCACTAAAACTTTTTAAAATTACTAAAAAAAACTTAAAAATGTTCTTGAAATTAAAAAAAAAAAAAGACAAAGTTAAGAAAAAATAAGAGTAATCAAATAAATAGTAAGAAAAATAAAAAACCAAAAATAAAATAAAGATTTGCATTATGATTATTTTAATCTTTGCCTTTATTTTTGGTTTTAACTTTATTTTTATTAATTTATTTTTGTATTAAGTAATTTTAAGATTTGTATTATATGTTTAATTTATTTTTATTTTTTAATTTAATATTATTATATGTCATATTATTGTGGGGTTAGAGAGATGTTAATTGTTTGTATGATATAAATAGAGAGGGTTGAGCGGAGAGAAAATTGAGAAATAAACATGTTAAATATTCTAATTTAATTATTATTTAATTAATAATAATAATATTTAATTATTAATAATAAAAGATTAAATAATAGAATGAAGAGAAAAGTTATGTTGGGTAGTTACTATGGTAAATATATTATTGGTAGATACTGCATTTAAAAAAAAATTCAGGACGTGTCTTATTGCATTTGTTAATTAATAATTATTTAAAATATAAGAATGTGACTTAGTCAAAAGTTTTAAATGATAGAGTTAATAATAAATATATTTATAATTAATTAATTAATTAAATAAAAAAATTAGCAGAAAATCTTTCATGAAAACATTATAAGATTATATAATAGATATAGATAATACTTGTCATGTTTGATGAGAATATTAATAAAGTAGTTTTTAAAGATAGATTTATTTATTAAATTCTGGATCAAATAATTAAATTAAGAAAATTTTACAATTATTTATATGAGGATATTTTAGTAAAAAAATATATAGTGTAGGGATAAGGGAATAAATGATGGGATATGGGATAAAATTTCCTTTTTTTTACTAATGTGTTGTCCATGTTTTTTTTGTTGAAAAGGGTGATGGGCTAACAAACCCATATAATCCCTATGTTGTTTTCCTCTCCACACCCACCTCACATTTTCAAGATATGCCTCCATTTCTTTTAGTTTTTAAGATTTTTTTATATATAATTTTTGCTACATTTTTTAATTGAATATTTTGTAAACTTTTTTTAATAATTTTATAAATCTTTCCATCAATAATCTTGTTTAATTTTGATTAGGTTTTTGTGGATGTTTTGAATTTTTTTTTTGCTTTACTATCTTTTGATTGATTCAGGTCGATGAACAGACCTCAAAATTGTTGTTCGTCAAATTATTGATGAATAATAATAAATCTGAGATCAAACTTCTTTTCACCTTTTCATTTCTGATTTTTATTTATTTTTATTGTTTTCCAGTCAATGACGAAATTTCATAAGATGTTAACGGTCAAATTATTGATAAATAACAAGTTATCCGAGACCAATTTCTCTTTTCTTTCGATTTCTTCTTTATTTCTATTTTTATTTAATTTTTCTCGATCTATGAAATCTTTCGATTCGTAAACATCGACTTATTGAGGTCGTAACCTTCACAATTTCAAATCTATGGAAAATGACCATTTGGGTCATTTTCTTTACTTTGCGATCATGATAGACTACCTTCGATTAATCAACATGATGTTTATGATTAAGACGAGATCCCACCTTTCTTTGGTATGTGCGACACGATTAAATTGGAGAATGGTTCTCAATATCATTTCTCCATCTTGTTTTTAGCACGAATATCAATTCACGCGACCTCCTATAGTCCGACTTTTATTATAAGTCGAGCTACGACGATTTAGCGTTACATCTCGTCCAGATTCAATTCATAACAAACTAACGACTAACTTTTACTTTCTGTCAAATATCAACTGTTTTACTTTCTGTCAAATATCAACTGCTTTAAATTCAGTCATTGTTCATATATTATTGTGAATATTATCTTGATATTATTGTTATCTTGTCATATTATTCATAATTGTCATATTCATATTCATTTTATTCATCTCATATTCGAAAACACTTAATAAATGATCGAAACGCGAAAAGCCTAAATTGGTGGACTGTTGGATCTTTGGACTTTGTCAGGTACCCTAACATGGAGCTGTGCCCGACTTTCACTCAAGGCTTAGTTTAGGACACATCGCACACACACACGGCTTTCTCTTGGGCTACCTTACAACGAGACCTTTTATTCCGTGCAATCCCGTGTAATTTACATGTACCCCTCTCCCATTCCGATGTATGTTTCGTATTTCTTTGATTATTGGTTTATCTTCTAGGAGCACCCATATGGATTAGCGTAGATCAAACCGTTTTCAAACTAATTCTTGATTCGTCATTGAACCATTTTCAAAACCCCCTATGTAAATCGAGTGCTCGTTTGCATTCGCCATCAACCTATTGCACACACTTCATCGTGGTTTCGATATTGGGAGCACCCTCAGGGACTAGTATTGTTTCTCACAACTTAACCCTTGGTTCGTCGTCAAGCCGGTTCCATTTTCAATCCAAACCTTCGACTCGTCGTCAAGCCATCTTTCAAACCATTTCCATTTCACCACAGTTTTACATGCAAATATAAGTCAAACCCTTGATCCAACGTCAAGCGGATTTTCTCAATCAATCATTAATCAATTAACAATTATTCGATTCTTTTCAAGGTGAAAAGAGGGAGATTGAACCTTTGATCTCCCTTAAGTTGTTTGAATGTGAGTTATCTTACTCGTGTGTAAGCAAGTGACGCGTCTAATAACATTTCTGACTCGACAACGTTCAACCATCGTCCAACCATTCATCTTCGCAAACACTATTCAAACACAATTTCTTTTCGTGATGAAAAAGAGAGAGAGCTAAGTCTTTGACTCTTTCTCCCGATTACTTGGGACCGAGGAGTCTTTCTTACGCTTCAAGTAATCGTCATCCGATCCCAACCTCACCTTTCAGACACAACCTTCTTTTCAAGGTGAAAAAGAGAGAGATCCAAGTCTTTGACTCTTTCTCCCGATTACTTGGGCCCGAAGAGCCTTTCTTAAACTTTAAGTAATCGTCATCCGTACCCCACTTCAAATCAATTCAA